CCAATTTCGAATTTTAGGGTTTTTTCGAGTAGAAAAATTCAGATTCGAGAAGTTACAGGCCAAATTAGACAAAATGGTTTGGATATTATTGATCCTCGTCTCAAGACGAAGAGAATGACATTGGTCCCGCCGGAATCGGAAAAAGTTCATTTTCCGGCGACTTTGACCGGCGGGCGGCAGCGGCGGGGCGTGGAAGAAAAGAAAAGAAGAAATGGGGTCAAATTGAAAATTTTAAAATATATAAAATTCGAATTTGGCCCTAATGACCGTTAACCTAGAAACGGGCTAATGGCTCATTAGTGAAAGGATTGTGTAAGTTCAGGGATTTTTGTGAAAGGATTTGAAGTTCAGGTACCACTTCGAAATTCCAGCTAAAGTTCAAGTACCATTTGTGAAATTTACCCGAAAAATCGATGAACCACGTCCATATTTTGTGGGAAACCCATACCTAATAAATGCACATTAATGTGTTCCGAAACAAGTGATGTATTGACCCGTATAATAATATTTTTTCGTGGGAAAGAAAGTTGACTTTTGAACCTGAATTATTGTTTTTCTCATAACAAATACGAGTAACTTAATCATACTAGTCTTTTAAAAAGAATGTAATTTCTTGACATATTTTTATCTTAAAAAAGTCATATTTAATGAAAACAGTCTAATATCCTTGTTTTCTGATGGTTGGAAACCTTATCTTTTAACATTTTTTAGTCTTTCACACTACTAAAATTGGTGTTTTTTGCGTGGATAAAATCCCATGCCATCCTTTTGGACGTAAAGTTATTATTAGGCTAAAATCCATTGTTGATCCCTTAAGTTTTTGCGTCATGTACGGTTAGTCTTTCAAGTTTATAAAATTTGCGAATTGTCCTTCAAGTCACATTAACGTTGCGCGGTTGGTCCTTCCGTTAATTTTTCCGTTTGCTCATGTATTTTTTTCAATTTTCGATTATAAATACATGTGAGGAACCCTCTCTTATTCATACAATTGAAAAATATTTAATATAAATCTTTTTTAATAATAAGAAGTTATTCTTACTTTTATTGGTCCTTTGTTTTAATAATAATATGTTATTCTTACTTTTATTAGTTCTTTTTTATAAAAGATACATTTTTTTAAAAATATACACACTCTATTTTAATGGGTTTATCAAGTTTTGACTTTTTGTAGTCAATTAGAGTTAATTTGTTATCTAACATTTCAATTAAAATGGTTCTACATGAAATATGACTTAATTGTATGCAGAATAGAGGATTTCTCATCTGATTTATAATGGAAAATAGGAAAAATGCATGGACTAACAGAAAACATAAGGGAAGGACCAATCGTGTAACGTTAACGTGATTTGAAGGACAATTCTTAGACTTTACAAAATTGAAAGACTAACTGTGTATCACGCAAAAACATGAATGATTAATGGTGGAGTTTAGCCTTATTATTAGAAAGGGAAGTCCGATGCTAGTTGGAGAGGGCTAAATCTGATGCCAATTGCGGTGTGATTTCCCGGCGCTATATAGCGTTTGATATTTCCCTTGCTAATTAGCTTCAGAGTTCTCCCGGTGTTGTATGACATTTCAGCCTGTTACGGGACTTTATTATTATTATTATTATTATTATTATTATGCTAAGGAATTATTTATAGTTAGTTAACTATTATTAGGGAATAATATATTTGTTAGGTGAATACTTAGCTTCCTAGTTTATTTAGTTACCTTTTATAATTATGATTCTTAATTATTTAGTTACCATTTATCATTGAGATTCTCTAGAGTTAGAGTCTATAAATGTATCCATCACCATAGTTTTATCAATCAATGAATAAAGAAAATACTTTCTCCTAAACCCTAATCTTTCTCTCTTCCTTGCTTCTTTTGTTCTTGGAGCTCGAAGGTGCTCGAAATCCTTCCCTATCCCGATACGATATCGTATCAATTGATGCTCTCATTCTTGAACTCATTCAAAAAAAATTATACAAAAAAATCGGCCACAAATATCATTTCCGAATCTACCAATCCTGATCCTTCCAACGATTGCTGCAGATCCAAAGTATTGAGGTTTGGGGTTCTACTAATCATTATGATTCCATATTGCATGTTTATTTGAGATCAAGCATCTACACTTCAAAACAAAAAAATCCCTATAGCAACTGTTAGATTAGTGTATTTGTACATATTTGTTTATATTTGTATTGGGCCGTGTATATTATGGGCCCGTAGGTTATTTACTCTGTCATGTATATATATCTTCGGAGACTAATGGAAAACACAAGTTTGGAGTAAATCAGTTTCTACATGGTATCAGAGCTTTCCTAGGGCAAATTCTCGAAACCCTAAGTTCGTGATTTCGTTCGTGTGCAGTCCGGAGTGTTAACCGTCGGATCGTCGCCGGTTCTCCATCGGTTCGTCGTCGTCGCCAGTTCTCCGTCGGTTCGTCGCCAACAATTCGTCGGGTCTCCTTCGCCGATAGTCACCATGTCAGGAGAAGTAGTTGCTTCTTCTAACCCTAAAAAGGCAAGGCTGATTCATGATGCCTCCTCCATATACTATCTCCATCCCTCCGAAGGTCCGGGTAATTCTTTGACAAAATATCTCCTCAAAAGTGATAATTTTGATGTGTGGGAGAAGGCAATCCGTAATGCGTTAGGTGGTCGTGGAAAAGCTATTTTTTTGTCACCCACGGGAGTTCCCAAACCTGTTGATGAAGGCGAGTTGTCTGCTTGGTGTGCAAATCATCAAATTATTTGTAGTTGGATTTTTAATAGTGTTGATGAATCCATTCAACCTAGTATTGTGTCTCACTCAATTGCTTATGAGCTGTGGGATGATTTGAAGAAACGCTACAGTTGTTCCAACGGGCCGCGTGTCTACCAATTAAAATCAGAGTTGAACTCTCTCCGTCAAAAGGGTCAAAGTGTTGTTTCTTATTACAATCAATTCATTACCTTGTGGAATCAATTAAATGGTACTTCTGATCTCACTGGGGGCTGTCACACGTGCTCGTATTGAACGTGACAAGACCGTGGATTTCTTGCTTGGTTTGGATGATGAACAATTCAGAAATATTCGTTCACAGCTTATTGGTACAGAACCTGTGCCCGACCCTGACCGTGCATATTTTTTGGTCACCCAAGAGGAGCGTCATCGCCACATTATTCATAATCGAGATGATCGCACGGACTCCGTTGCATTTGTTGCCAGACCTGACAAACGCCCTCCGGGTCCAAGCAGATCCTGTTCGCATTGTGGTCGTACTAATCATAGCGTGGACACATGTTTTGAGCTTATTGGATTTCCAGCACAATTTGCTCGTGGTGGAGGACGTGGTCGTGGCAGTCGTGGTGGCTCGTCGTCAGGTGGTCGTGGTGGTCCTCGGCATGGCAGCGCCTCTCAAGCTCCTGCCGGCAGTGGGCAGTCCGTCCCAGGCAGTGGCAGCGGCGGTCAGGCTGCAGTTCATGCTTCCGTGTCGGACTCAAGTGGCAATCTCAGTGATCAAATGTCCCGCTTGATGTCTATGTTAGAGGCCTCGGCATCTCATGCTTACACCGGTAATTCTCTTTCCGACTGGCTCATTGATAGTGGTGCTTCGCATCACATGACAGGTTCTCTTTCCCACTTATTTAATATTGAGGACGTGTCTCCTCATTCTATATGTCTCCCTGATGGGTCTCGTGTTCAGGCTGTTAAACAAGGAAGTGTGCACTTATCTTCTCGTTTGGTACTTCGTAACGTGTTATACGTACCAAACTTACATTGTCATTTGATTTCTGTGGGCTGTTTAATTCGTGATAATACTTGTTGTGTAACTTTTAATGATCATTGTTGTGTGATACAGGACCGTTTGTCGAAGATGGTGATTGGTCAGGGTGATTTGCGAAACGGCGTGTACGTCTTTGCTTCAGTTCCTGCGTCAGCCCTCGTAGCTAATATTGATCCCCTTGTTCTTCATCAACGGTTGGGCCACCCCTCCGCAGATGTTCTTTCTTTTGTTGGTACCAATAAAACTCAGTCTGTTGTCAGAAAGTTGCAAACATGTGAAATTTGTTTCTTGTCTAAACAAACTCGTTCTTCGTTTCGTACCAGTGATAATAAAGCTGATGCTATTTTTGACTTAATTCATTGTGATTTGTGGGGTCCTTATTCACCTTGTATTTCGTCTAGGGCACATTATTTTTTGACCATTGTTGATGATTATTCTCGGGCTGTTTGGGTCTATTTGCTAAAGTCTAAAAGTGAGGTCACTTTCTGTTTATGTCGATTTTTCACTATGATCCACACCCAGTTTTCCAAAACAATAAAAGTTGTTCGTTCTGATAATGGTACAGAGTTTCTCAATTCCTCCTTACGACAATATTATGAGAGCTTGGGTGTGTGTATACAAACGTCTTGTGTTGGTACCCCACAACAAAATGGGCGGGTAGAACGTAAGCATCGTCACATCTTGAATGTCGCCCGTTCCCTTATGTTTCAAGCGTCTCTTCCACTAGAATTTTGGGGGGAGTGTGTTAAAACTGCAGTTTACCTAATTAACCGTACACCCACTAAAATTCTCGGTGGTAAATCTCCCCTCGAAATTCTTTCCGGTAAACCTTAAGACCTCAGTCATCTTCGGGTTTTTGGGTGCCTTTGTTTTGTCCATCCTATTCCCAAACCTAGAAATAAATTTTCCCCACGAAGTGTCAAATGTGTATTTATGGGATATCCATATGGGACCAAAGGGTGGAGAGTTTATAATCTTGACACACATAAATTTTTCCATACGAGGGATATTTCTTTTGATGAAACTACTTTTCCGTTTGCAATTCCTACTCCCTCGTCTCTTCCTCAACCCACCCTCACCCCATCCCCCGTTGATTTTGTCGTCCCTCCACCCTCCGTCACCCCTGCCGACCCAAAACCCCAGGTTCCGGCAGTGTCTCCCGCCCCGACTGCCGTACCAGTCCCCACCCACCAGCCGGCAGTGTCACAGTCTCCGTCCCTGTCCTCTTCTTCGTCCAGTCCCGCCAGTTCCCCCATCTCTTCATCAGACGACGACAGCGCCGTGTCTTCTCCGGTGGAGACCACTTCTCCACCGCCTATACCTCCACCCCTTCCGCCTCGCACGCGTCGTCGTCCCTCTCATTTAAATGACTATGTCCTTCATTCCGCAAAGATCGTCACTCCGGATCCAGTCTCTTCCTCTCCGTCATCATCTGGTACTCGGTATCCTATCACTAACTTTGTTCATTATTCTAAGTTGCATGACAGGTACAAAGGTTTTCTTGGAGCTATTGACGCCACGAGTGTTCCTCGCAACTTCCGTGAAGCAGTCCAATTTGCTTCGTGGAGGGAAGCTATGGCTACTGAATACTTGGCTCTGGAACGTAATCATACATGGGATGTGGTTGATCTTCCTCCTAATCGGCGTGCTCTTGGTTGTCAATGGGTGTATAGGACGAAATATCGGTCTGATGGTACTAAGGAGCGTGACAAAGCACGCCTTGTTGTTTTGGGCAATCATCAGGAGCTTGGAGTTGATTTTACTGACACTTTTGCCCCAGTGGCCAAATTAGCCACTGTTCGTGTGTTGTTATCTGTTGCAGTGGCTCGTGGGTGGCAGATTGATCAGTTGGATGTTAATAATGCTTTCTTGCATGGTAATTTACGGGAGGAAGTCTACATGAAAGTCCCACCAGGTTACACTCACCTCTTTCTCGGGAAGGTTTGTCGTCTTCGTAAGTCTCTGTATGGCCTTCGTCAGTCTCCTCGTAACTGGTTCACCAAGCTTCGTATTGCTCTACGACGTTATGGTTTTCGTCAGGCTCATGCAGATCACACTCTTTTTGTTCTTCAGCGTGGTCCTGACATGTTGGTTGTTCTTGTTTATGTTGATGATATTTTAGTAGCAGGTAACAACAAGTCTTTGTGCACTTCGTTCAAGAAATATTTGGATAACTGTTTTCATCTCAAGGATCTTGGTCCGGTGTCCTATTTTTTGGGGATCGAATGTGCTCGTTCTCCCGATGGTATGGTCCTCAATCAGCGTAAATATGCCCTTGATATTATTAATGAGGCTAATCTCCTTGGGTGTAAGCCTTCCGACACACCCTTGCCCGTCAATCATAATCTTGCTCGTTCCACTAGCGCTGAGATTCGGGATCCTCTTAAGTATCGTCGTCTTGTGGGCCGTGTGCTTTATCTCACTATCACTCGTCCTGATATATGTTATGCTGTTCACACTCTGTCTCAGTTTATGCAGGCTCTTCGTCTTGATCATTGGAATGCGGCTCTTCGTGTCCTTCGGTATTTAAAGGGACACCCCGGTTAGGGAATTTTATTGCGCAGTGATAGCAATCTCGCTCTCACCGCCTTTTCTGATTCTGATTGGGCTAGTTGTCCCCTCACACGGCGGTCTGTCACTGGTTATTTTATTCTCTTGGGTGGTTCTCCTGTTTCCTGGCGCACAAAGAAGCAGAAAACTGTTTCTCGCTCTTCTGCGGAGGCTGAGTATCGTGCTATGGCGCATGCGTGCGCTGAGATTCGTTGGTTGCGTGGGATCTTGGCCGCTTTGGATGTCCCGTGTGTTGCAACTCCTCGTCTATATTGTGATAACAAGTCTGCCTTGTTCATCGCGGCAAATCCAGTTTTTCATGAACGTTCGAAACACATTGATATTGATTGTCATATAGTCCGGGAGTGCCTTCAGCGTAATCATATTGTCAATGCATATGTCCCTACGCGTTTTCAGACAGCAGATATCTTCACAAAAGCCCTCTCCGGTCCTCTTTTTCATAGTTTATTGTCCAAGTTGGGCATTTATGATATTCATGCTCCAACTTGAGGGGGAATGTTAGATTAGTGTATTTGTACATATTTGTTTATATTTGTATTGGGCCGTGTATATTATGGGCCCGTAGGTTATTTACTTTGTCATGTATATATATCTCCGGAGACTAATGGAAAACACAAGTTTGGAGTAAATCAGTTTCTACAGCAACAGTCTGCTTGGAGCACAAAAAATATTGTTGTTGATTGACCAATTTTGAACCTGCCAAATTGCTGCAAATTCTAGGGGCGGCAACATGTCTAGCATACACGAGGTAAACTTTCTAACAATGATGAACGATGAGTTAGACAAAATTCTTGGTTTACTCGAGAAAGTTTTACGAGGACAAATTGAATTTTATGAAGGAGTGTGTGTAGTTGAAGATTCTGTGGATGAAATTATAAAGAAACTTGAAGCATTCCGTCCAATTGAAGGTCAACCAAAATTTGATTCTGAGGTCTATGCGTTCTCCGTAGAGGCCTTTTGCTCAATACAAGATTTAGTTCGTGGTCTCCTAATTATGCCAAGCCTGATTCATATAGAGTTATACATTTTCAAAATAACCATGATGCGCTCTATTAAGAAACTCATCAGCACTCCACGAGATTCGGGCCCTATGGTACCTGTGCCGAACACAACTTTGCAGGACCAGGAATTTGAAAAGGAAATTTTTATTGATCCTGTTAGTGTTCCCGATGATGATCTAATTATTGATCCCATAGATGTTGTTTCTGTTACCGTTACTGATATTGTTATTAATGTTTCTGGTGACGATCAACGAGACCACACTATCCAAGCCGAATATTCTAGAGATGGTGTCATTTTTTATGGATGCACGGAAACCATTGGCACTTCAGAAAGTGACATTGTTGTCCTTTATGATTCAGGGGATGTCACGCGTGCTGGCAGGATTTTCTTCTTATTGGTTCTATGGAGTTGTTTGCTTGGAGTTGTGAATGCTTTGAGCTTGACCGATTCTTTTGATGCTCCAATCATTAAGGTCTTTGACCCCGGAGGATGTCCGTTCACAACGCATGATTCCTCTTTTTTCTAGATTTCCAACTTGAGGACAAGTTGGTTTTCGAGGCGGGGAGAGTGTTACGGGACTTTATTATTATTATTATTATTATTATTATTATTATTATTATTATTATTATTATTATGATAAGGAATTATTTATAGTTAGTTAACTATTATTATGGAATAATATATTTGTTAGGTGATTACTTAGTTTCCTAGTTTATTTAGTTACCTTTTATAATTAGAATTCTTAATTATTTAGTTACCATTTATTATTGAGATTCTCTAGAGTTAGAGTCTATAAATGTATCCATCACCATAGTTTTATCAATCAATGAATAAAGAAAATACTTTCTCCTAAACCCTAATCTTTCTCTCTTCCTTGCCTCTTTTGTTCTTGGAGCTCAAAGGTGCTCGAAATCCTTCCCTATCCCGATACGATACCATATCACAGCCGCGGAAAAACTTAACTATTCTTTTAAACAAATATTTATTAAATTTTAAATTGAGCTTCTCAAAACAATACCAGTAATGCACCATAACATTTAACAACACGCACGCAACAAGGGAACCAACACTCACCAATACATAATAATGGAAAAATAAATCTACAATAAACATAAAACACCACTACACCAATGCATTTCAAAACTACTATAACAAATATGCCAAGAATTACAATATCAATTCACTAGACCTATGCAAGCACCAATATGTGTCGGGATTGTTGGAAATTGTATGGATGAAGAACGTTGCAGAGCAGGGTTAACAAAGAACTTGATAGAGTATAACGAATCACGGAAAACACTTTCAGATCAAAGTTATTTCGGGGCATATGAAAAAACTTAATCGGATAAGACGTTAATCAAGAACAAGCACTGAAAATCAAATACCTCAACCCATACCAACGAGTATCTATTTATAGAGTCAAAAATCAATGATCATACATGAATATTTGCATATCAGGCGAACGTTTGCGCGAGGAGATAACGTCAGGAAAATGCAAAAAAGTTGGCTTAAGGAGACACACGTCCGTGCGTAAGGATTCTTGCGGTTTTAGGGTTAATTTGCCGTTTATCCACACGTCCAAATCTTTTAACATTTTGGACTCCGTTCACGAAAATCTGAAAGAAATTCATAAAGAAAAAACGTCCAAAATAAAATATTTCTGAACTTACCCGGCAGCTTGACCCCAGCCACGTGCTCTGCCCCTTGGACCCCGCTACCCGGGGGCTGCCGCCTCAGACCTCTGCTATGAATTTGTAATACCATTGAAAGAGTGTGCACTCCGCGCCTCCTAACGCGTTTGACAATGTCTATTCAAATTCTTTTTTGATCTAAGTAAACTCAGTCACACAAAATAGTCGATGACACTAAAATCACAAACAATCCTCCCTATTTTAGTGTAATCCATAATTTACTTTCTTGAGATGATAGATTGAACAAACTTATACATAAATGAAAATATTGTGACAATTGAATTTTCATCTTAGTATATTACACGTTCCAAATATTCAAATTTTAGGGTGTCTCTAAAGATTGAACCCTTGTAATTCATAAGAATACATGAAGATAGTATACACACAAGTTCCAACTGCTTCTTTGTTCTAATTAAGCTTGACACCATATTTTACTAGCCTTGTGTCCTTATCCATCAACGAGTATATAAAAGTCAAGTCCAAACTTTGTGAAGCGGCTAAACTTCATAGTAATATAGGTAATTCTTTTATGTCTTGTACCTGCATATACAATTTTCAAAAGAACCATTAAGAAGATTTACTTCAACCTCTTTAACTTGCAATTCTGAACACATACCTCTGGATGATGTTAATATTGTGTTCTAATCTCTTGATGTTAAGCTTTCCCCATTGAATTCTGCACTTAACGTCATATTGGGTGGGAATAGGGTATCTTAACATGAGAGATTTCATACGGACTTTAATCCCATTCCTTTAGCTGAATTTTGCACGAGATCTCTTCTAAAGCTTTAGTTAAATTATTGGCTAAATTATGTTGAGTTCTAACAAACTCAATCAATATCACACCACTTTTGATCAAATTATGAATCATGATATGTCTAACATCCATGTGTCTAGACTTAACATTGTAGACTTGGCTATACGCCTTAGCCAAGGTAGCAGCGCTGTCACATCTTATAGATATTGGTGATATCGGTTTGGGCCACGATGGAATCTCATATACCATGTTTCTTAACCATTCAGCCTCTTTACCAGTCGATGCTAAAGGACTAAATTCTAGTTACATTGTTGATGTGGTGATGCAAGTTTGTTTCTTTGATCAACATGAGATTGCTCCTCTGCCTAGTAAGAAAACCCATCCACTAGTAGAGGAGAAATCTTCCATATTAGTGATTCAACTTACATCCAAGTATCCGTCGAGAATAGGGGGATCTCCAGTGTATACCTAACTATAATCTATAGTTTTTCTTAAGTACTTGAATACTCTCTGTATAGCTTTCCAATGGCGTGTACCAGGACTGCTAGTGAACCTACTAAGCTTTCCAATGACATGTGCTATATCCGGTCTTGTACTAACCATGGCATACATTAAGCAACCAAGAGCTCTTGAGCATTCAAGTTGAGACACAACCTTCCCTTGATTAGGTAAAAGTTTAATGCTTGGATCCATAGGAGTGTTAACCGGAGAACAATTTTCAAAATTAAATTTCTTCAAAAAAATTTCAAGGTAATGAGACTGTGTAATGCATATTCCATTGTTCACATGCTTTATCCTAATTCCTTGGATTACTTCTGCCTCCCCTAGATCCTTCATGGAAAAATGTGATGACAAGAATTATTTTGTTTTATCGACTTGATTTTGATCAGTGCCAAAAATCAATATTTCATCAACATATAGATAAATTATCACTCCTTTACCCTAAGTATTAAATTTTCTATAAACACACTTGTCCGCATGGTTCAAAAGAAAGCCATTTGACAAGACAACATCATCGAGCTTCTGATGCCATTTCTTTGGTGCTTGTTTTAAGCCATATAATAACTTTTCTAACTTACACACTTTATGCCCATACCCTGGCATAACAAACCCTTCAATGTTTCATGTAAATTTCATCTTCTAGTTCACTATTTAAGAATGCTGTTTTTGCATCCATTTGGTGAATCACAAGATTATGAATGGCTGCTAGGGCAATCAACAACCTAATGGTTGAAATTCTTGCAACAGGGGCATAGGTGTCAAAGTAGTTAATTCCATCTTTTTGCCTAAAGCCTTGTATAACTAACCTATGTTGGACATGAGTTCAAACCCTTTACTATTTCTTCTGGAATATCTTTTTTATTTTGTTTTGATGAATGACAAACAGGATAATTAATCTCAAGCTGATCGAAAATTTATTTTCGTATCGAGAAAAGCAAAGAAAGTTATCAAGAAGTTTACGGCGATAAAAATCGACGATCACCCCTACGCAGATTTTTTTAAGGTGGAATGAAGACTCCGAAGACTTTTTTATTTTTTTATTGAATCTAGGATTCCTGTAAGGATGACAATAATTTTTGCATAAACAAATTAATTTCTGAGGGATAAAAATTATTATTTCTTGAGTCAGTTGAAAAATTATTTTTCCTCTGTCCAAAAATATTTTACTGAGTCAGTTTCAAAATAAGTGTGTCAAAATTTATTAAATATAATTTTAAAGATTACACATTTTTTGGTAAGAAAAATATAGTTTAAATATTTTTCGTGTACATCGTTTGACACACAAAATAATTTTTGGACTCACTTTTTCTCCCCTATTCAAAATCATTGAATAAGGGATATTATATTTGAGGAGCGTTCTTGTTATTCTCGTTGTCTCAAACAACGAATATAAAGCCAATGCCCTTCTCATCGCACTTGGCTTGGGCCCTTCATGTTTGCGCATTATTTTCACTTTAATAGATTAAATTTTATAAAATAATCGATTAGATCCGATTTCTCAGCGCTGGATTTCTCAGGCCAATAGACTTAATCGATTAAATTTATCCATTTAATCGATTAGTTTAAACAGAGCAAGCTAATCGATTTTTCTCTCTTTTTTAATCGATCAATTCCACCTTTGCATTCAAGCCCTTTTCGCTTCTGTACACTTTAATCGATTAAAGTCCCTAATTTAATCGATTAATTCTGTTTGGTGCATGTTCTGGCTTGCTCAACGGCTTTATTTTCCTCAGCCTATTTAATCCCTCATTCTCTTTCATTTCTAAACACATCTCTTGCACTCCAATATATTCTTTGAGCTATATTCATCCTTTGCTTCATCTTCCTCATCAAAATATTATTTTTGAGAGTTAGGAATATTTTCTTTGAGTGCTAAAGAAGTTGTCATCCATAGAACTTTAATTCTTCAACACTACTTTGCTCAATTGTGTGAGCTTTCATTCTTGTGTTGTAAACTCAATCTCATTTGAGTGTTGTTGTTAAGACTTGTGTGACTCAAGTCTTGTTGTTGTAAGAAAGTGAGGCTTGTGTGATTCAAGTTCTCAAGTTGTACCGGTTTTTCAAGCACCCGTTGAAGCTTGAAGATTAGTAGGACTTTCGAGAGAGTCTCTCGGAGGACTGGACTAGCCATGAGGTGGTGAACCAGTATAAATCTCGGTGTTCTTCTTTCCCTTACTCTCTTTATTTATTCTTGCGATTTTATTATTTCACACACGCGAAAAACGCACATTTTTGAAAACAACTCTATTCACCCCCCCCTCCTCTAGAGTTGCACATTTGTCTAACAATTGGTATCGGAGCAGGAACTTCTTCGAATACGTTATTTTTCAGGAACTAAAAGATCAAATGGCATCAAGAATGTTCAACGCGGGAGTGAACGAGGGACAATCAACCACGAGGCCACCGTTGTTTGATGGAACCAACTACTCGTATTGGAAGGAGAGGATGAGAATCTTTATCCAGTCCAACGACTACAAGCTATGGTTGATTGTGAAGAACGGCTGCGGAGTCCCTATGAAGAAAGTCGGTGAAGTCAATATCCCCAAAACCGAAGAGGAGTTCACCGACGAAGGTTGCAAAAAGATGGAGCTCAACGCAAAGGCAATAAACATGATTTATTGCGGTGTTAATGCAGATGACTACCGCAAAATCTCGCAGTGTGAAACCGCAAAACAAATGTGGGAGAAATTGGAAGTCACCTACGAAGGAACCACGCAGGTTCGGGAGGCCAAAATTGACCATCTCACTCACGAGTATGAACTCTTTTCAATGAAGGAAAATGAGAAGATTGAGGAAATATTTGAGATATTCTCTAACATCATCAATCCTCTCAATCTTCTCGGGAAGACATACACCGACCGAGAGCTCGTGAGAAAGGTGCTGCGAAGTCTATCCCCCAAATGGCGTTCAAAGGTGGACGCAATCGAAGAAGGTCGTGACTTCCAAACAACGACCTATGATGCTCTTTGAGGTAATCTTATTACCTACAAAACCACCCAACTCTCAAAGGTGGTTGAAGAGAGGAACAAGAGGTCTATTGCTCTACCCGCAACAACATCAACCCACAACAACGTTGATGATGAAGATGATGACAGCGACGACACCGACCTCGGACTCTTTGTCCGAAAATTCAAGAAGATGATGCTCAAGAAGGGAGCCAAGAAGAACACTCCACCCAAATGCTATAGGTGTGGTGAAATTGGACAAATCAAACCAATGTGCCCAAAGCTCAAGAACGAGAAGGTCAAGAAGGCACCGAAGAAGCAACGTGCCTACATTTCTTGGGAGAACGACGGCTCCGGGAGTGAAGACTCGGAAACGGAGGAAGTGGCCAACTTGTGTCTCATGTCCATTGAAGATAGTGATACATCAAAAGAGGTAAGTGATCAAGAACCTTCTCCCAATGATCCTTAAACTCTTAATGATGTTGTTTGCATTGTAGAAAATTTGGTAAGAATGTTAAAAAAGGCTTCCAAAGAAAACAATGAAATAAAGCAAAAAATCCTGATTTTTGAGAATGAAATCAAAGAACTCAAAAATATAAATGATAAACTTAAACAAGAAATTATCTCTTTTGGAAAAAGGCCACAAGAACCTTCAACTAATTCTTCTTCTACATGCTCTAGTTTTACATCACTAAAAGCTAAGGTTGCTAGTTTAGAGAGCAAATTGGGTAAGTTCAATAATGCTTCAAACACCTTAGATAAAATACTTAAGCAAAAAGTTAGTAATGGTGAAGGACTTGGATATAAGAAAAACCAACCTAGAAAAACAACATTTGTTAAAGCTAGGGGGAATAAAAATGCTAGGATAAATAATCAAACTAGAAAAGCACATCCTAGCAAACCTAGAACTCATTACACTCAACCATATAGGATGAATAATCCAAATGTTATTTGCCACTATTGCAATAAGATAGGT